CGTATTGGATTACCTCAACATCAAATGCAATGCAAACAAAAAGAAGATTAAATAAATATCAATAAGGTGTTTTTTTAAGCGTTTTATGTAAGAAAACAGAACAATGTGACCTTAGAAAAGAAAGATATTTAAGATCAGAAATGATTTTACTGACAGGAAAACCTGCCTTTCATGAAGCATATTCAGGCACATGAGCACATACTACAGTTTAAAAAAACAGGAATACAATCTGAGCTTGAGTTTAATACACACATGATCAAACCCTTTAGTAAAAGCACATTTAACATTAACACCTCCTCTTTTTGAGATGAAGCACCGCCCCTTACCTGCAGTTCTCTAAATATGGCTTCACCCATGTGCACTATTAAGCCCCGCCCCTCTTCCAGTTCAGGAGATGTGATTGGTCTGAGATCACATGACCTGCAGTGTGTGTTTGTGTATAATAGGTTGTCTGTTTATTGTCATGCTCTTTGTCATGTGCTGTTTGATGACAGACTGATGGTAAAGATTCCTCAGGATTATCTGATGTAAATATTTTAATTTTATAAGATCAAGTGTTGGACTCATGTATTATGTTCATAAAGTAACTGATGTAATTAGGAAGGATATGAAATGACAGGGACAATGGGTGTAAATTATCCTAATTATCTATAAATCCCATAACCAACACGTCATCATGTTACTGTAATCTGTTACCACGTTTTTCTACATTTTACATGAGAAATAAACTCGTGAATAAATACCTGAAGTCATGCTCAATGAAATATCATCCAAACTAAATTATAACTCATACATTTGGGAAGCTATCCAAATCAAATGTCCGTCTTTCTTTGAGTTATATTGTGTTTGACTGCCTTATTTATTCCTCATCACAGGTAAGTATTTTATAAATAGAGACAGTTAAATCTCTGCTATATTCACAATGAAACCTCTTCCAGTTAGTTAAGCAACATCCAAATGCTGCATATTATTTATTTCAAGCATACGGCCAGACATGACACTTTGCTAGTGGTGCGATGTAGTGAAATACATGTACCTAAATACTGTACATCTGAGTACTTCTTCCATCACTGCCTCTTTTGAAGGGGGTTAGTTCACCGAGCAGATTATTGTTGCTTCTCGTGTTCTTCAACATCTCCCTGAAAGATTAGAGTCTTTCCTCGATAATCTAACTTTGTTGTGAATGATTTATTCTTTGGCGTGAAGTGTAGTTTTGGTCTTTAATCCAAACACAATTGTTCCCAAATTGATGAATCAAAGCCTGGTCTCCGAAACAATAAAACAGAACACATACGGAGAGATCGTCACAACAAAGATATTAAAGAAATAGTAAACAACAACCACTACATTACAACTAAGACAATCAACACAATAAATAACTCAAACACTTTAAAATAAAAATGTCCTTTGTAAACATTGTCATATAACGAAAGGTTAAAATATCCAGCAGTATCTAAAGTATTTCAAATGAGCCCCACTTCTATCAGTTAATGCATCAATCCAGTAATTTACCATACGCATGATATATGAAGGCTCCGTTAGCATCACAATAACTTTTGGTACTTTAAAGGTAGGGTAGGTAAGCATGGAGAAACCACCTCGAGTGCGCTGGAATAAATCTGCCTCTTCCTTCAGACTTCCTCACAGAGCTCCTCCTCCAACACACACGAACGCGCACATGACCAATGAGGGCACGAGATAAGTTTGTGCACAGATGGAAGGCTGACAGGCAGGTAGGCCATCCAGTTACTTTAGCCGGCTCAGATGATTGGTCGTGCTTTTTACAGCGCCACGGCTTCCATAGATGACTTTTTTTATATGTATTTTTTGTCAAATCATTTCATATATTCATTGCTATCGGGATGTTAAGAGCATTCCATGGAATATAACAAAAAGTGTTTCTGAAGTGAATTACCTATAGCCCACCTTTAAGGTACATTTTACTTGCTTAAGATTTAGTTTGCAGGACCTTTGCTTGTAACAGAGTATTTTAAAATGTTGTATTGGCCATTATACTCGAGTAAAAGACCCAAGTACTTTTACCATCACTGCACTTTGTCCTTTTTGATTAATTCAATAGCTGCTTTCACACCAAGTACTTTGCCGTACTTAGTGCCGGCACTTAGTGCCCCCATGGAACTAAGTACAGATCGCGTTCACACCGGAATAAGTTCCCTGAGGGAAGATTACGCAAATGAGCCGCTGACGTCACTTCTTCTTCTTCTGCTTTGGGTTTACTGGCAGGCTGCAAACAACTTCA